CAATCTCAGTCTATCTCTTCACCATCTATCATGATGCTGCCAATTGGCCCAGTGGTGAGAATCTTTGTTTTATTGATGTTGAGCTTCAATCTATATTAAAGACTACAGTTCTTAACCTTCTGCAGCAAGTGCTTCAGGTCTTCCTCAGTTTAAGCAAGCAGGGTTGTGTCATCTGCATAATGCAGGTTGCTGATGAGTCTTCCTCCAGTCTTGGTGGCACATTCCTCCTAAATAGAGCCCAGCCTCCCACATCGTCTGTTCTGCAATATAGATTGAAAAGGTATGGAGATAGCACAAATCTCTGGCATACACCCTTTCTGATTTTGAACCATGCAGCATTTCCTTGCTCTGTTTGGATGAGTGCAAAGCAACTGGAACAGCATATCAACAGAGATCTGCCAGATGTGCAGGTGGGGTTTAGAAGAGGTCACGGCACTAGGGAGTCTGTAGCTAATGTTAGATGGATCTTGGTTGAAAGCAGGGAATACCAGAGGAATGTCTGTGTTTCATTGACTATGCAAAGGCGTTGACTGTGTGGATCACGACAAACTGTGCTGACTCTGAGAAGAATGGAAATTTCTTGGTAGGTAGTACTATTCCCCCACCCCCCTCAACCCTGATAGAGCCAACAGCAGATGCAACTTGGAGCTGAAGCTGCTCTCTTTTGAGGTTTTCTGCTGAGTGTGCTCTTTTCTCAGAGTACACATAGCCTTCACTTTCTCTCGTCTTCCCTCTCCCATGTCCATTCTCCTGTGCACACACGCTCCCATGTACACACATACTCTCATGTACATTTTCCTATGTACATAAACACTACCAAGCATACTCCGTGTACACTCTTCCATGTACAGTCACACACACACACACACACACACACACGTTCTATTCGCCCAACAGGAGAAACATTTCAGTTGTTAAAACTGTTAATACTTAAATTTTTAAGTTTATATTTGTATAAAGGAAAAAAGTGGACACTATAATTACAAAGTGAAAGAGATTATAAAATCTACACTTAGGCAAGTTTAACAAAATTCACTACAAATTTACACAGAAAATGCTGCATTTTCATTCACTGGAGAAAAAAAAATAACACTTGTTGGCTAGCTAAAGATAACCTCTTTGAAATGGTAGAGAGACTATATTTATACTTCTCAACTGTACATAGAGAACTTAAGACAATTTTGAATTTATCCCACAAGATAAAAGGGTTTCCCCTTAATTAAAACCTTTTCTTTTTTTTGGAAAAATTAAGATTCTCAGGAAACCTGACCTTCTGGAGTCATGGAGGATGGACGAACTCCTAAAACTATTTCCCTGAGGTGATTTTTAAACCTTAAACCCTTATCCCCTCAAGGTTTTGGAAAACAACACAGAGGTCTGATTAACCAATAAAGTCTTCTGCCTTGAAAATGATGCTCTTCTAGACGGGATCCAAGAAGTAACTGCCAACTGGAAAGATCAGCTAGGACCCTCAGAGGGTAGGTAGTTGAGGGAGGGGTAACTCACACAGGGAGGGTGGGAGTGGCTGCCTTAGAAGAATGTCCTCGTGCCTCTCATTGAAGCTTGGGCTGCTTCCTCATAGCTGCTGTGGTCAAAAACGAGCCCAGAGTGACAATTTTCCTTGACGGCTGCCGTTCAGTGTGCTGTAACCAATCCACAACATTTCAGGAAAAGACAGTTCTCAATGCATCTGCCATTTCTCAAATTGGCCTTCTTCCAGAAGGTAACAAATGATGAAGGCTTGCAACAGAGCAAAGGGAATGAAGACATTGCCAAGAACCAGAACTATATACATGTATATAAACTTAAACGCTGTTGTTTAAAGAAAGGTTTAAGTGACCAAATGAAGGGGTCATCAAGTAACATTGGGGGGGGGGGGTGGGAAGTCCTCAGGGCCACTGAGCTAACTGTCCATGTGGGCAGTGCTGAAGGGGTGTGGGATCCAAGGTGCACACAGAGTGGAAATGACAAAGAAAAAGAAGTGACCACCTGCTCCCCCCACCAATTTCTGCAGCTCTGCAACTGCATCCCTGCCCATCCTCACCCTTCTGCCCCCAACCCTCGCCTCCTTGTACCCCCAATATGTTTTTCCTAATAAAATAAAAGAAGTGACCAGATTGCCAGAAGGCATTTCGTTTACATGACTGTATCTAAACATGCCATGCCATCGACACAGTCAGTAACACAATCAGTAAGACGACCAGAAAATAGAGCCACCACTTTTTTCCTCCTTTTAGCACATGCCACAGCCTGTTCACAGGACAAGGGTGACTGGAACCATGACACAGAACTGTAAGGAGCATTCTAAGGCAAACAAGCCAGTCCTTCAGGGCCCGGGACAGAAGACACTTTAATGAAGAACCCATCTGAGAAACCAGATTCTCTCAGGGAACTAAACATTAAGTATGTATGTCTTTGCTCTGCAGTCTTCGGTTTACTTCCTGTTTCAGGCTGAGCAACAGCTGTGCAGGATATGTGACTTCAAAGTGTCTTTTATTGTAATTTTAAAATAAAAATGACAAAACATTGAATGACCTTTTTATTATATTAATACAGTCAGTGTGAAATTAGCCCTGAAAATGCTAAAACAACAAAAATATATTAATTAGGCATTTATCATCCTGGTACCTGAAATAAAGACAAATAGAAAATCATGTGAAAACATTAAAAAGTTGCAAGTTTTCATTAAAATTATTTACACGTGTATTCTAATGCCAAATTTATAGATAGTTCTTTTAAATTATTGAGTATTCTGAAATATGAAAATAATCGAAATAAATATTAAATATCCATAAATGAAAATTCAGTTCTTCACTAATATTCTAAATGTAGATGCTTTTTTTTCTTTCTTGTTGTGTACCGTTGAGTTGGATCTGATTGGCCCAGGAGGAGATTGCCCCTCCTTCTCCAGCAGAGCATCTGGTGGATTTGAACTGTGTGCCTTCAGGACTGCAATGCAGCTTCTTGCCCCCAGGCTACCACACCTCCCTAGATGCTTATTTTTGAATGGCTGAGGGATCTAACAGGTGCTTTTAAATGTTTTATCCTTTATTCTTGGTCCCTTAATAGCAAACACATCTGTGAAATTTTTAATAGCCACTCATTGGTGCCAGCAATCACATTAAGATAAAAAAAAACCCCTATTCTTCAGTAACCAGCAAAGATGAATCTGTTTTAAATACACTCAATTTTGCTTCTCAAGCACTATAAATATCTTCCTTACACTATATAAAAGCATATTTCTTCAAAGTTTTGACTTTGAAGAAGAATTAATAATTCTCTGGTTAAAAGTCCCTCATATTGACCCACTTAAAGAAATGTTTTACGTATACTTTAAAAATGGGTTAGGAAATAATGGCAAATAGATTCTTGAAACCCAAAATATCTTGGCATTCTCTACTTTGTAAAGTTTTATATTATTCTCCACTCTTCATCTACTTTAGCGTTTTTTAAAGTAAGTATCCTAGCGCAGTGTTTTAAGTCAACCATACGAGGTTTTAGTTGCCAAAAACAGAGCCTAGCCCAAGCAAACTCATGATTACTCCCACGTCCAGGGTGCGCCCTGCTCAGCTAGGTTTTGTATTTTGTTGTTTCACACGGTTGGGAATGAGACACTATTTAGACGTTAATTGTGTATATAAATGTCATCAGTCCCAAGCATTCCAAACTCACTGTGAAAGCCTGACCACAAGGCAGGCAACACAATCCTCTTGATGGACGGGGCTCAGGAGAAATATTTGGTGCTGAAAGGACATTATTTTTGGTCTCTGGCAGAGTCGGCACTTAGAGAGCAGAGATGCTTACAAGGAGGACAGCGGACCCCAGCCAAGTGCCATGGAAGCCACTGGCCGGACACCTGGTTGGGAGTCACCGCCACAGCAGAGGGTGAGGAGGTGGTGAGGAGACAGCATTCCGAGGTTTGGTCTTATCATTTTAATCAACGCTTTGGGGCTTTAAAATAAAATGTGACTGGTTTGAAACAAGTAAACTTGCAGTTCTAAGTACAACATGGACTGAAATGGACAGGGAGGCAGACCTACAACGGGGGCCACCTGAGCCCACCTAGCACACACGGCTGGCGGGCAAACCCATATCTCCTCCCCAGCTGAGGATGGGGCCAGTTCTGATTAACATGCATGGGCAGATGTGCACAAGATAATCAGGTAGAGACGGCATCATTTTCCCTCAGAAGGTGCACATGTAGAGAACCTGACGCCCCTGTGAGAAGGCCGACAGGCACCTGTGTTAGTGCTGGCCTTCCTCCCACTGGAAGCGCACAGCCGGGACAGGCCGGGCTCTGCAGGGAGGCGAAGCCCATGATGCTGGCTCGACCTGACAGGTAAGGGAGCACCAGGGGACCGACCCTCGGTAACTCCTGTTTGTTTAGACTTCCTTTATACCTTTATTTCTGTGAGTGTGGCATGTTCTGTAGATACTGAACCCTCTTCCACCCTGTGGCTAAGTGTCCTGGGCAGAGGACCTAGCAGATGGTGCCTGCGGGGAGGAGACCTGGCAAGATGCTCCTGACCCTCGGGGGTCTCCTCTGACCGTGCCTGGTAACAATGTGGTGGGACCACAGTCCTGGGGGCACACGACCTCTCGCAGGGAAGTGAGATGTGACAGGTCAGAGGAAACGAGCCAGGACAGTCAGCCCAGCAGCTGAGAAAGGTGGAGGCCATGCCTGCGCCTCGGCCATCTCTTGATATGCTGTTCCTGCCTGTCAGCTGCCCGAGGGAGCTTCCTGTGCTCTTGTCAGAAGGCGTGAGAAGTCAGGAACCTGGAAGGTGAGAGAAACAGTGTGGCTCGGTGCTCGGGGTGAAGGCTCTTTGGTCAGTCTATTCCCGACGCTTAACAGAAGCCTAGTGCTGAAAACAGAGAAGTGCTCGGGCCGTGAGCTGGCAGTGGGTCAGAGCCAGTCCAAAAAGTCGGTGGAGGAGGACCGGGTCAGAACCAGGGAGCTGGCCCAGCCATGCATGTCGGCAGGAGCTGGGACGGCGGCATCACCGCTTTGTGTACGTCCTGTTGGAGCCTTTACTCAGGCCTCCCCTCAGCGTGGGGATCTTGCTGCCAGCCTTCAAACCCGAGGTGCCTGTTCTAGTCATTGTTTTACCTGCAGTGAAGACACAGACACATAAAACACAGGCCCCAAGTTAGAAGGGAGACACAGGATCCCGGAACAGAGAAGTGGGGATGAGCTGTGGGTCAGGGCACAGAGAGGGCAGAGATGGTCCCTATCACTGTCTGCAGGGGTCTGATGATGGCATTTGTCTGGGTCAGCACCGTGGACAACAGCAGCTTGCTCCGGCGGCAGCAGGCTGAGAGAGGTGTGTGTGTGTGTGTGTGTGTGTGTGTGTTGTGTGTGAGGGATGGTGGTCTGGCCTGCAGCTACAAGCCAAGCGCTCGGTATGACACCTGTCAGGGGCCCAGAAGAAGTGGGACCGAGGCAGCTCCCCATCCAGGCACCCCAGAACTGCACTCCAGAAAGCAAGGAAGGGAACAGCCTAGACATGAGTTTCCACTCTGCGTCTTTGTTGTTGTGTACTGTCAAGTCAGAGCTGACTCATAGCTGACCCTCTGGCGGGCTTTAGGGGCAGTTTAATCACACAGGAGGAGACTGTGCATCTTTCTCCTGTGGAGCAGTTGCTGATTTCAAACTGTGTGCCTTTGGGACTGCAGCACAGCTTCTTACCACGAGGCCACCAGCACTCTGCGCCTCTATCTTTACCACATTAGATCGGCACCATTCCTAAGATCAAGTTAGGTCTCCAGCATCTTCTGATTAAGAAAAATTTTGTTAATGGAACATACAACACTGTTTATAAGGTGTCCACGTGGCAAGAAGCTGTGTTGCAATCCTGAAAGTACGTGGTTTGAGGCCATAAGCTGCTTCGTGGGAAGACGGGCAATCTCCTGTGTGAGTAACTGCCTCTGAGAACCTGCCAGAGGGTCAGTTCCCACTCTCTGGTACACAACAACAAATCTGACATAAAATAGCTACTTCTGCTAACTTACGTCAGATTTAGGGTACCGTATGAGGGTATAATACCATTTCAGACAGGTGGTGCCTTATCCCCAGGCAACTCCAACTGATGTTCCTCAATGCTGAGGAATCTTTCATATGAAGACACTGAGATAGGAGTGTACCCTGGTGGAGTGCCACCCAACAATGGCCCAAAGCCTCTGAGAGAGTGGCTGCATCTCGAGAACGTGGTCGCACGTGGAAGGCCTTACCTGGCAGCAGCCCCTGCACTCTGTGCAGGATGTGTGTCTTCCGCAGGTTCATGGTGCAGCCGGCGGGACCCATGAGATGACCCTTCCAGGCCTGCAGGGGGAGGAAAGGCCGAAGGCATGTGGTCAGGCCACAGAGCTCCCACAGCATCGAGGACAACGACAGCTAAAGCTGAAAACGAGGGCACCTCTGGCCACAGTGCAGATGCGTCAGGGATTCTACACCAGCCCCCACAGTCTGCACATTAGCATTTAACTGCAGTTCTTTTTACTCTTTTGCATAACTTGTTACATTCTGGAACTTTCCAGAGAGGGAAATGGATATATATGAATTGGACAGCTGGAGAGACAGAGGAGGACAAGCAGGAGGAGAGCCTGCACGGCCTGTGCGTGAGCTGCGGGCTTTCCCGGGCCAGCAGGATGCAGGGCTACCCTGCCGACTCCATGTCCAGGACGGCCTGGACACACGGAGCTGTGCAGATGCGGTAAGCAGACTGCAGGTGACCGCGGGTAAGTGGGGTGTGTGTGCAGTGGGCAGGCCCCACAGGGGCTCAGCACGCGATGTCTGGCACATCTGGGCATCTCTGGCTAGTCATGTTAGCCAGGGAGCCACATTACCATCTCGAAGCTGCTGACTCCCTCTGGTATGCCCTCGCCCCAGTGTCAGCTAACGGCCCGTGGGGGTGGAGGGGTGGGGGTGGGAGACCTCACACTCTCCTCACTAAGCTGCTGAACCATGGTGTGGGAAGGCAGTGGAGTCCTGGATTAGATAAGAAATAGAATTTTCAGACTGAACTGGGCTAGGTTTATTAATCAAAAGGGACCAGAGTGTTCTAGAATCTAGTCAATCTCCATTTGTTGCTGTTGTGCTAATTCTGAGCCCCCAGAACAGGGAGAACTGGCTCTTAGGGTCTCCAGGGCCGCAGGTCTTCATGGAAGCCGCTGCTTCTTCTTCCTCATGGGGCCGCAACTACCAGCCTCTCCGTCAGCAGCCGTGTGCGTAAGCACTGCACCACCAAGGTGCCTCAAGATGTCGGCTGCCGAGGGCCTCTGACCACGACCCAGTGACCCCACGAAGCACAGCCCCGAACGCTGCCATCCTGTACCATCCTCACCAGATGACACGTGTGAGCCCACCGTTACGGTCACTGTGCAATCAATCTCACTGAGGGTCTTCCTCTCTTCCTCTGACCTCCCACCTTTCCCAGCCTGGTCCCTCCTGAGAACATGCCCAAACTAGGTGAGCCAGGGTTCCCACAAACAGGTAAAAGCAGGGGCTAGAGAAAGAGAAAACCATTTCATGTCTTTATCCCAGGGTGTTCAGCCTCCTTAAATGAACCATTCATAAATGCTCCAGCAAGACATCACGTGATGATACAGGACACGAGAATGAACACTGACGAATCTCAGCTATTCCCTCCAAACACTGCACTACTGGGTACCTGAGACGTTGGGCTTTGGAGTCCAGTAGCCCTGTCATCACTGTCACTATTTTTATAACACAACAGTTTATTATTATCAAGTCACCACTGTCCAGGGTCAGGCCCCTTACCTCTTCTCCAGGTGAGAAGTTCTCATGGCACAAAGGACACCTGTTCGCCAGTTTCTCTGACTTGGCAGCTGAAATGATTTAGTAAAACAAAGTCAGTGACTCCAATGACAGGAGTCAGCCCGTGAAGAGAGGGAGTGTGGCAGCACCCAGGGATACTTCAGCCCCCAGGGTGTGTGGAGACCCGCTCAGGAGGCCCACGGCTCAACAGGCCCAGCGCCTCGGCAGGCCCAGCGCCCTGGCAGGCCCAGTGCCCGGGCAGGCCCACCAGCTGTGCAGAGGGCGCCTGGGGACACACTCACGATTGCACTCTTTGGTCTTGATGTGGCGGGGCAGCTCCTCCTTGAGCACCGCCTCGCTGCAGCGGTAGCACTTTCCAAAGCCATCCTTCTTGTCACATTCCGTCAGCAGGTGCTCTGTCAGGCTGGCTATCTCTACCACCTGGGCCAAAACATAGGTGGGGAAGCTGCTGAGACCCTGGTGGGCTTCCTGCCACATTGGCTGATGGGTGCAGGGTGCAGAACCTCCAGAAAAGGCTCCGGGGGCAACAGCGGCGTTGGGGAGCACAGGCATCTTTCCTCTCTGAAGCTCACACACACGGAGCTTCTGGAGCATCCACTGTGCTGTGCAGACACCTCTCAGATCCTTCGCTTCATCTTACCCGGGCAGCACGTCAAAGCCATTGTGCAGAGGTGGGGAGTGGGTGCTAAGGGTAATCTGAATGTGGCACTTGGATTAGAAGGCAAAATAGCTGTGGTTAATTGTGTGGCCCTGGGTTTAAATCCTGTCTACTTTTTTATGCCGAAGAACATGCACAGAAATAGAATCATAAGATAGCAAACGATCTCTTGCTCTACACACAGCTCTGTCTGGAAGGCCCCTGCATACCCTGCAAAGCACTCCTCCGCCTTGGGACTTTGCACGCTGCTCAAGGGAACACTGGGCCTTGTTCTGGGCCATTACACAGGGGCCAGAGTCCGCCCTGCCAGGTGGAGGGACAGCTGCGGTGGGAGGAGGATCAGCTGAGTTAAACCCCCTCTGAAGGCTGAGTGGGCCCAAGACAAGCGTGCTCTCCTCTGTTCCTAAAGAGAAGGCCTTTCACATCAGAGGGGCTTTAAAATTTGGCATAGGGAAAAGTTTCAGAAACGGCACAGAGAACACAAACCATGAAAGGTGGCCAGCATGAAAAAGGAAAACTTCTGCAATTAAAAGACACAGTTAAGCAAGCTGATAATGCAACACACAGAATGAGAGAAGACTGTCAAAATACGTATCACTGGTCAGTAAAACCAGCCACCATAGAGTCAGTTCCCACTCATGGTGACCCCACACGTCAGCGCAGAACGGGGCTCCACAGGGTTTTCAACGGCTGATTTTTCAGAAGTAGACTGGCAGGACTTTCTTCTGAGGGCCCTCTGGGTGAACTCACCCACCGACCTTTTGGGTAGCAGCTAAGCATATTATCTTTTTGGAACAACCAAATACTCCATTTAACTTAAAAAAACCCAACTCTTGTCTAGATGCATAAACAAAGAATTACTACAGCTCAATGAGGAATGGGGAGCTCTGGTGGCCTGGTGGTAAGAATCTGCATTGCAATCCCAAAGGCATGAGGTTCAAATCCATGAGCTTGCTCTGTGGGAGAGGCAATCTCTGCCCATGTGATTTACTGTCTCTGAAAACTCAGTGGAGGGTCAGCTATAAGTCGGTTCCAACTCGATGGCACACAGCAACAAGAAGAAAAAGATTGTCTGCCTAGTTAAAATTAAAAAAGTACCTCACAAAGTCAAACAGACAGGTGTGTGAGCTGCCCAGCCATCAGGGAAAGGCAAACTACAAATAGCCACGATGCCACGAGGCACCCAGGAAAACCTGAACCCCATGGCATCAGGTGGCATTAAACACCTACCAAACCCCTCAAATTCTGACTCAGGACTCACATACTGCCGTCAGGTCGATTCTGACTCATGACGAACCTCTACCACATTTCTGAGGCTGGAAATTGTTACAGGAAGTGTTGGGCCCGGGCAAGGAGGCCAGGACAGGAAGAGAGTGCCCATCTTTTTCCCATAGAGTTACTGATGGACTTGAACTACACCCTTTTGGATTAAGTGCCAGATATGTAACACGTCACACCACCAGAGTTTCGTAAGCACCCAGCAGAACGTCCACAGAAGACTGGCCGGGCCAAGTGGGAGTGAGGAGGGGGAGCAGCGGCGGGGGTGTGAGCTGGTCCCCCGCTCTGGGTGACCCCGTGGAGCATTAGCTCTGAAGCTGAGCACCTCAACACCCAGCAATTTCACTCCACGTCAGTGGCTCGCGTACTTCCACGTGCCCCACAAGAACACACAGAGCACGTGTGGCAGAATGAAAGAAGCCCCACTGGAAAGAACCTGAATTCTGTAAACAGGATGGATGAGTGAATTGTGACACTGTCAAAGGAGGGAAGACTGGAAAGTAGGAAAATAAACCATATACAGTCTAATAATTACATTGTGGACGATTTTTAAATATAAAGCTCAAAGAGCAAAAAGCACAGATGCGTGATGTCAGAAATCAGGACAGTGATGACTTTGAGGGGGGACTGAGGTGAGCGGGGCGTCATTTCTGGGTGGTATAAACACTTAGAAGCTCAGCTGACAATGGTGAGGAACAGCTGTTGGAATCCATGCACAGGTGCCTAGGAAGAAAAGCCTGGTGATGTGCCACTCAAGAGTCCCGCGTAAAAGTACCACTCAAAGTACCCTGACACGTATGTGAGAGCCATGAGTCGGAGTCAACTAGAGGGCAACTAGTTCGGTTTTTGTCCAAGGGTCTTTCTGGACCTGAGTGGTGGGTACACAAGTGTTTCTGTGATCATACCTTGGGCTCTAACACTGAGGATTTGTATACTTTAGCACTTTAACAAAAACGCAAAAAATAGTAATCGAAATAAAATGAGGTCGTGTGTACTCCGTTACGTTCTTTCACCATTACTGACACCTGGCTGCCTTTGTGCCGGGCCTCCCAGGTGTGGCTGGCTCAAGTCCACAGGCTGGGTCTGGTCCAACAGTGCCCAGCACCTCACCTGTTTGCAGTAGTCGCATCTCGTCAGCATGAGACAGTGCTTCCAGTAATGCAGGTCCAGACCTTCCTCTGTGAAAGACTCATTCCTTTCTCCACAGAAAATGCATAAACTGAAGCAGAACAGCAAAGTGCAGAATGAATGCAAAGACCTGGCTCAGTGACGCCCCCTCTGCTCCCCCGTTCTCTAGTGTCAGCACCTCACCCTTGGCTGGCCCTCTGAGGAGGGGGCGGTGGCGGCAGCCCTGCTGGCTGGGCCACGTGCTGAAGTGCCAGGAAAGATTCCTGACTGAGCGAGTGTGGAGCAGCTTTCTAAGATCTCTTACAATGTTAACCATGTTGTACTCAAGCAGACAGGAAATTTTGAGTCACAAGAGAAAAATAAGCCAGAGACATTTGTCCCAGTAGCCTTGCCAATGTGTCCTGGCCTGTTTAGTAATGAGTGTTTTCTACTAGGGTGTTTTTGTGCCCAAAACAACAATTTTGGTAGACAGCCTATACACTCCTGTCAGGGTTAACTAAAAAACAAAACCAAAGAAAAACTCAAAAGGGAGCTCTGGTGGCCTAGTGGGCAGGAAGCTGTGCTGCCAAGCCAAAGGCAGGGGGTACGAATCCACCAGCTGCCCCAGGGAGAAAGATGGCACTCTCCTCGTATAGGATTCACAGCCTCTGAAAACTGCCTGGAGGGTCAGCCCCGACTGCTCCAACCAACAGTAAGGAGTCTGAGTTCTGAGATGGCATTTCAGCAGGTAACTGCCTCAATGCCATCGCACCCCCTGGGACCCTGAGCAGCACAGGGGGCAAGAGAGGGGACAGGAGGTGGACTTGTGGGGGCAACGCTTTAGCCCTGAAGGGCCCACTAACCACTCTGACCCCATGAACAACTAACAGACTGCCTAATAATTACAGTGTTTCGTGCCTGGATTCATTACATAAAGGGCACCGTCACTCACTTATCCAAGTAATGGTTGTCTGGGATCTCTGGAGCACTGGGTGGGTCGGCTTTCCTTCCCTGAGTATCTGAGAGAGAGAGAGGGGGGAAAAAAAGCAACTGAATTTATAGCATTTATTTTGAAATTTTCAGTAACCAGTGTGATTGAGAACATACTTAAAATATAAGTTAACCAGGGTGGTATTTGCATTGGGCTTTGACATCTCGGAAATACTCAGTGAGCATTTGCTGGCAGAACAGAGGTGGGCTCTGTGGGGCGCCCTGATGGCTGCCACTTACCCTCATCCCTGGGCTTCGTGGAGTCACTGTCACTTTCTTTTTCCTAAAACACAAAAGGGGCAGGTTAGGGACAGGCAGTAAGTGCTCAGGAAGAGGCGCTGAGTGCGTGAATGAGTAAGGAGTTAAGACGTTCATGTCACTGGAATCCAGCAACAGACAGTGAAGTGGCCAATAATGTGCTTCTATTGTGTTTTCTCAGTTGGTCTGTTTCCTGCCCCTTAAAGGAGCCTTAGTAGCACGGTATTGGGCTGTTAACTGAAAACAGCCTAGTGGGTGATGAGCTGTGCTGCCAAACCAAAGGCAGGTGGTTTGAATCCACTAGCTATCATGCGTGGGAAAGACAGGCAGTCTCCTCTCATGCAGCCTCTGGTAACCTGCCATGAATGGACAGGAATGAACTGAGCCGGATGGTCTACTGTTAAAGCTCAGTAGGCCTTAGAAGCAGAAAGATGCACAATCTCCTGTAAAGATTTACAGCCTCAGAAACCCAGCTGAGGGTTGTTGTAAGTCAGAACTGACTGGAAGGTGACGGTTTACTATTATTTCTTCTGTTTCGTACTTCAGTTCAGGTGTGCTAATGACAGCTGGTCACTGGGCTTCACTGAAAGAAAACTACCCTGCTGCTGGTGACTGGGCTTCGAGTCACAGTGACCCCACGTGTCACCGAGACGGCTGTGCTCCATAGGGTTACCTCATCTGGAATCTTAACAAAAGCGGATTGCCATGCTTTTCTTCCATGATATTGATGGGTTCTCGTTTGTACTATGTAGGGACCTGTGGACTAAACCAATTGCATGGATCTGACAGATGAGACTCCTTACTGGCTCCTTGGTTTCCCATGTTGGCTCAAGGGTTGTGCTGCTGTGGGGTCTGAGAGCCCCTGGGCACGCTGTGCTGGTGGGCTGGCCTTGGCCATGGCTCTGCCTACTATTGCTCTGGGTGGCTCTCCAGCTCGCCTCCCAGTCTGTTCTCTGTCCTGGAATCTGGACGTAGCCACAATTAAATAGTAGGAATGAAAAATATTCTTTATAATGAAAAGAAATTTGAAGGGAAAAACCATGCATTCACAAATACTCAATGGATGCATGAGGGAAATTGTAAAATAAATAATGAATGCTGTTGTTATGTGCCATCGAGTCGCCTGTGACTCATAGCCACCTATGGACAACAGCTCTGAAGCCTGCCCTGTCCTGAACACACCTATCCCCATTGCCCCAGTTACTGTATCAATCCATTTCATCCACGGTCTTTCTCTCCTGAGCTATCCTTCTACCCTTCTGAGCACCATGTCCTTCTCCAAGAACTGGTCCCTTCTGGCCACGTGCCCAAAGTATGTGAGATGGAGCTCAAAATCCTATCCTCCAAGGAACTCTGGTGGCCTAGTGGCAAGAAGCTGCACTGCAATCCCAGAGGTACACAGTTCAAATTCACCAGATGCTCTGCTGGAGAAGGAGGGTTAATCTCCTCTTGTAAGAGTCAGATACAATTTGACGATACACACAAAAGAAAATAATATTATTTTTTTTTAAAGACAAAATCCTAGCCTCTCAGGAGAAACCTGGTTTCATCTTCTGTAAGACAGACCTATTTGTTTTCTTGGTGGTCCATGGTATGTTCAAGACTCTTCTCCAGCACCACACTCAAAGGCCTCAGTTCTTCTTCTGTTATCCTTAATCACTGTCCAGCTCTCTGATGCACAGCAAGTAATAGCAAGGACCATGGCCTGGATTAGACGCACCTTAGTCTACAGACTTACATCGTTACTTCTCAGTACTCTGGAGAGGTCTTTGACAGCAGATTTACCTAATGCAATTCGTCTTTTGACTTCCTGACTACTGGTGCCAAGAGTGTTGACTGTGGAGCTGAGAAAGCTGTGATTGTTAACAATCTCAATCTCTTCTCCATCCATCATGGTGCTGCCAATTGTCCCAATGGTGAGAATCTTTGTTATCTTGATGTTAAACTTCAATTCAATTGAAGACTACCATCTTTGACTTTCTGCAGCAAACACTTTAGGTTCTGCTCATTTTCAGCAAGCAAGGTTGTGTCATCTGCGCAATGTAGATTGTTGAGGAGTCTTCTTCCGATCCTGATGCTGCATTCCTTCTCATAAAGTCCAGCCTCTCGAATGATCTCTTCTGCAGACAGACTGAAAAGACATGGAGACAGGATGCATTCCCTGAGCACGCCTTTCCTGATTTTGAACGCTGCAGCATTTCCTTGCCGTTTTGATGATTGCTTCATGTTCCAAGTATGGGTTTTACATGAGTCAACTGAACAAACAGGACCTGCAAATGTGGATGCAGTGATTGAGGGGAGAAGACATTTTCCAAGAAGGGTTAGCTGGTATCTCTACGACACCTGTGTGTGGGTATGTAGAAAATGAAAGACATTAGACAGTCCTCACTCCAGTAGAGCCTTCATTAAGTCATTCTTATCACATTTAGGGTGTAAGTAGCAAAGTTTTGATCTACTTGGTAAATTCTGAAATTCAATTATCTGAATCAAGACTTTACACATCATTTATGTTTGAGCTTCGCTACGTAACAGTTCCTGTTTTATCTGAAGTAGCTATTATACAGTGCAATGTGGGTCGACTAAGAAAGACGTTTTTCCAGTCCATGGCTCATCTTTTTAACTTTTCTCCAGTATTTATTATTTGAATAAATAATCATTAACTTTATTTAAACCATAAAATAAGTAATTGACTGAATTGTTGAAAAAAAAAAGACACTGAGTGAAAGTTACATAATTCTTGGAAATCAGAATCCATTTTTATCAGATATGAAATTATCTTTGTTAAAATGAGTATTTGCTTTCAATTTTTATTAAAGTCATTGCGACTCTGGCGTAACATCATTCAAGTGTCCTGGTGTGGATCTTTTTTTTTTAATTTTTATGATTGCAAAGATTCTATAGTATGATTTAACAATCCTCTTGTTATTTGCCACTGAGTTGGATCCAACCCACAGCCAACCCCCCAGAGGGTTTTCAGAGGCAGTAAACTGCATGGAAGGAAATGGCCTCATCATTCTCATGTGGAGCAGCTGGTGGATTTGAACCTAGAGCCTTCAGGATGGCAACTCAGCTCCTCCACACAGAGCTGGGCAGCATGCCCAGCATGGGAGATGCATCCCGTTTTCTCTCTGAATCAAATCAGCTATGTACTGTACAAGCCTGGTAAATGTCTTCCTCTCTGTGTGGTTCGCTCTTCTCAAAGATGTGCCCGTTCTTCCTGGTCAAACTTTTGTTTGCTCTTAGCAGCTCTTTCACTTTGTTCAAACTACTTTTGGCAGCGTGAGGGCCATTTGCTCTACACGGTCCACCAGGGAGAGAGAGTGGCAGTGCCCGGTGCCTCACAGCTTTCTTCAGGAGAAGCTGGGGAGCCATGATCTGCTGGGGGTGGTGGGGCCGTGCTTGCTTTAAGTGGCAAGGTGGCCTGGTCAGAGCTGCCAACATTCTGCAGTGTCCACAAATCCCACACTCGGGCTGAATGAGCACAGAGAGCCTTGCTTCCTCAGTGCCAAGCTCTTGTCTAGAAAAGCTACTTCCAAGCAAAACTATTTCTCTTGCCTTTAAAATGAAAACTGTATTTGGAAAGGGAGGATTTCCAGGAATAGAAAAATTCGATCTAGGTCTAGAACTCTTAACATGTAAGCGAAACAAAGACTGCCCCTGGTGAAGGTGGCTGCAGGACTGTGCTGCAGAACACATCACATACGATTCTCCGCGTGCTGACCCACCGACCCAACCCGGGGGCTTCATGAGTGAGGGCTTGCATGCTCTAGTCCTTGGGCTGCAGGTGTTCAACATTAATGTGGAATGACTGTCCTTGGGTGTGAGGAGGGGGAAATGGAGGAGGAGGAAGAGGCAGCAATGGCTAGAACGCCTGAGCTTCTACAGAGGGTGTAAGGAAAGGTGGGGGTGCGCTTGTTCCATTCTGGCACTTCTTCCCCCCTGTGGAAGTAGCCCTCCAGAGGGCTACACACCCCTTCCCTCTTCCTCACTCCGCCCTTCTCTGCTCACCCCTCACAGTGGGGCTGTCACATCAGGAGATTCCACTCTCACTACATTCACTGCAGGCTGGTAGCCATCTGGGGCCAAGGCTTGACCCCTTCCCAGCATCCCCTGTCCTCCAAGTTTTAGAGAAATAAATTTTACATGATTATAGCAATTTTTCTAGAAATAAACCAACAAATAGGAAATTCCTACAATTTTAAAATTGGAAGACCTTTCAGGATTTATATACTTATAAAGAAAGCTAATCTAACATGACAGGAATCGGTTGCTGTTATGTACGTTCATGTTGGAACCCACTCAGAGTTGACCCTCCAGAGAGTTTTCAGAGGCAGTAAGTTACTTAGGAGATTGCCCATTATTTCTCCTGAGGAGCAGCTGGTGGATTTGAACCACATGCCTTTTGGCAGGCAGCATAACTCTTTACCACTGAGCCACCAGAGCTGGTGAGAGGATGGGATTCTTGGGATTGGAAAAAAATCTTTGTGGATAATGGATGAAAGGGCTCATAGCTTTTGCAGGGTTGTGGTTAGTTGCCCTCAAGTGGACCATGACTCACAGAGACTCTCTGGACAATAGATGGGAACCCTGCCCTATGCTGTAAGGGCGTGTTCATGTTGTTTGCAGGGAGACAAAAGGTAACAGTTTACCTTACCTATGTGTAATGACCCACTTAGAAAATCAAGTTTTAAAAACACTTTTTCTAGAACTCTGGAGCAATCCAACAACTTGAAAGGGCTCTGCAATTCTCAGGTGAGTAAGCACCAATCACACTGAAACTGCAGGCCTGGCCCTCCTGGCCACACCTGAGCTGAGCTGCAGGCCCCGCCCTCCTGGCCACACCTGAGCTGAGCTGCAGGCTCCGCCCTCCTGGCCACACCTGAGCTGAGCTGCAGGCCTGGCCCTTCTGGCCACACTGTGGCAGGTTCTATCCCTTTTCGAGTCCCATCTCCCTGTGGCCCATGTCTTCTGCCTTGACTGGCTGACTGACTGTCTCTTCTGGAGCACCAGCTCCTCGAGTCCAGGGACTCTCTCAGCCTCTCTGTACTTCTAGAGCCCAGATAGTGCCTGACACTCCTTGGACCCTTGATAAGCAGTAACAGCCAGCCTGGGAGTTGGTGCAGGTATCCAGGGAGCTGCAGGGAGGTATCTAAGGTGTGTTTTAGGGAAGTCGTAGTGCTGAGACCAGGCTGCTGAAGGCTCAGTGAAGCTCCTTTAAACTGAAGAGAGCTGGGATGCAGTGTCCCGGCTAAGGCTGAGCCTGGTTTTAGTCACTAAGTCACTGAGGTTTCCTAAATTTGTATAATATTAAGAATAAAAGTTACACATGCCCAGCCTACTTCAGAGAATTGATGCGAGAATATATGGGAAAGTGGCCAATAAATTACACCTTAATCACACAGGGATTATTCCCCACCATATGACCCACCAATCTTTCCCCCACATTCCCCATCAACTTCCTCTTCCTTTACTATGCCGAGGTTCAAGCATTCAGGTGCAATGTTACTGTGATTCTTCTGCCAGAGGAACATCATCATAAATTCTTTTCCTATTTTATTTTAAAAACAAATCTTTCAATTTAAGGGTCTTCATCTTGTTATGATGAAGTGTTGGGAAACTAATTTAAACTGCAGAAGCCAGCAGTTTAAAAAGAACCTGTTTAAACTCATGCAAACTCTCTGCTTGTACTATAACTGGTAACTTCCATAGTCTTAAGACTATGGGCTAACTCATTGCTGTAGAGGTGGAATGACCTGAAAAGCTGACCCTCCAGCAGGTTTTCTGAGGCTTTAAGTTGCATGAGAGGAGACCGCCCATTTTTTGGCCTCAAAGTCACTGGTGGATTTGAATGGCTGGAGAGGTGCCGCCTCTGAGCTAGCAGTGAGACTTCCTATAAACTGTGCCATCAGGGAACCCCTAGTAAGGGTCTAAAAGGAAAATATTCACATGAAATGATCCTATATTTAATTTATTGAGCTCAGACCTTCATTCAACTTAATTTTTCTCCTTAACCTCTGCAGGCTTTTTTTACAGATTACAGAGCTAGGGAGGAGATAAGAACTCTGTCCTTCAATCCTGCTCTTTTCATCACCTTCTAAGCCTCAAATAGTCTTCTCCCTAAACATATAAAGCAGCTCACTGCAATCCCTATCAATGAAATGTGCCTGACCATCTGACAGACGTTCTAACCATCTAACGGAGTAGTTTATTTTATCTCAACCAAGAGCCTTGATGAGATGGATTGATTCAGTGACTGGGGTAATGAGGGTAGGTGTGTCAGAGGTAACAAGGTTGGCTCAGCATAGAGGAGGGTTTAGGGCAGTTGTACACAGGGTCGCTATGATTTGTAGGTGACTCAACAGCACATAACAACAACAACAACAATTTAAAATTAATTAAAAAACTAAAGACACCCATGTCTTTATAATCCCATGGAAAGTAAACCAGAGATGCAGCCATACAATGCAGTAACTGGTCATGTGATCGCAACCCAAAGCGCACGAACAGCAATGCGTTAACCTCTCCAACCTGGACTTCCGCCTGAGCCTCTTTGAGTGCTGCCAACTGTCCTTGGAGGGCTTTAATTTCTTCTTTCTTCTGTCTTTCTGCTTCTTCTGTGGCTGCCTTTTTTTGTGCCTGTTAAGAAAATGATCCTTCTGACTTGCTTTTTACAAATTACATGTTGACAAATTATACTGGAAGACAAATCATAATGTGTAAATTATGGGAGCTCTGGTAGCCTAGTGGTAAGAAGCTGCGCTCCAATCCTGAAGGCACAAGGTTTGAATCCACTGGCTCCTCAGCGGGAGAAGGATGGGCAATTTCCTCCCACGAGATTTACTGCTTCTGAAAACTAGGTGGAGGGTCAGCTATGAGTTGGTTCTGACTCAACAGTATTCAACAACAATATATCAAGCTAATATTAAGGAGCTGTTTTGGCTTAGTGAGGTACATATCAGTCTGCTAACTGAAAGGCTGGCAGTTCAAATCCCTCAGCTACTCTGAGGAAGATGGATGGGCATTCTCCTCCAGCAAAGGTTTACAGCTGCAGAAGCTTAATGGAGGACATCATGAGTTAAACTTGACTCAAGGGCTGAGGATTATATTTAATAACTGGAACTCTGGGCTGCTAACTGAAAGGTTGGTGGTCTGAACCCACTAACCACTCCTTGAGAGAACATGAGGAAGTCTGTTCCTGTAGATTCATGACTGCAGAAATCCTGCAGGGAAACTCTACCCTGTCCAACAGGGTCGCCAGGAGTTGGAATCGACTCAGTGGCAATGGGTAGACTTGGTAAGATTCTGTAGGACTAAGGAATGGGCTTGCTGGTGGCCTAGGGGTAAGAAGCTGCGCTGCAATCCTGAAGGCATGTGATTTCGAATTCCCCAGCTGCTCTGCAGGAGAAGGACGGGCAATCTCCTCCATTACCACTATATACTGCCTCTCAAAACCCACTGGAGAATCTGCTATGGGTACACAACAAAAATTGGTACAACCAGGGATAAAGGAAATTTTGATAGGTATGATGGCAATGTCCTCCTGGCCATCCTTACTCTTCACACATGGGAAACACAGGGTCTCACAGGCAAAAAGAGACAGGGCCAGTCTCAGCTCCTAGAAATACACACAAAATACTTTTGAAACGACACAATCAGATCATAATTTCACGAAAGGTAACTCACCCTAATTTCAGCTTCTGTAGGCTTGCCATCTATTTTAGCAAACCCTTCGAAGATGGTTTTATAGAGAAGGTTCTTGCGCGTGCTGCTGTCGTCTGGGGGAAGGTACTCAAGAACAAAAGCCCGGTGCTGTCTGTACATGTCCAAGATGATCCTGACCGCAGTCTCTCGCACCTCGTACACTCGATGCTCCAGGGCGCTCACTGAGAACTAGAAATAAAGCCAGGAGGGGTTCTTGGTGTTACTGATTTCTGAAATAATGAAGTGTATTTCTTCACCAGTATAGAAGGAATTGATATAAACTATGAAAATCTGATAAAGAAACACAGAAGTCCATATATTATCACAAACAGAACTTTTTCTACAGTTTATCTTAGACCTAATTAAATCATGAAGTTTATATAGTTATGTAATCTGAGTTTTGCTTTTCCCCAACATAATTTTTTTGCAGTCGCATTTCCTGTATTTGGGGAAATCACAAGATCAGCACATCTGCAATGGATAAGCCTCGCCCTGGAAAAACCACCTTTGTGATCATGGTATCTCCCCTGCCAGGTAAGTATCCCCATATAATATTTTGGTTTTTTGTTTTTGGCTTTTATTACAGATTTGGTAACAGTGACTGACAGACAAGGTCTGAAAGGAGCAGCTGAGACAAGGTTCAAAATTGGGGATTGAAAGCCCCCAAAGACATAGTTGGGGCACCAAACTTCTCTCTATACATATACATTCTGAAAAATTCATAGGGACACGGTTTCAAAAGATAGGGTAGTGAAGAATGAAGCTCTCCTGTATAGACCATGGTGCTAATAGTGGACTTTCCTGAGCTCTGGTTTAAGGAGGAGACCAACACAAAAGAGGCCAATCATGGAAAAACTCAGTCAACAAGAGTTCCCACATAATGTTTTAACAAGTAATTTTAGGTTATATGTTTTGTATTCTGTAAATTTCCTATTAAACTCTTATATCCTAGACATCTAGGTTTAACTACTGCTATGGCTTTGCAGTGCTTGTCATGTGTATTTCATGGCTGTAAAATCAGACATTGTAACCACAGTGCAAGCTCCCTGTGCCTCTCCTAGTCTGCTGTCCTCTCCTACTCTTCCCCCCCCTTTTTTAAATTATTATCAATTTTAATGAAAATTTACAGACTTTGGATTTCTATTCATTCATTGTTGCACTTTTCTCCCTGCCCATCCCTCCCCCCTAGTTCACTCTTCACTTTGAAAAGTAAAAGAAAAATTCTTTCATTATTTTACAATCCCTCCCCGCAGGTCCACTCCACTGTGCAGCCTTCGTTCTGGACTCCTGTCATGACGATAATACCTAATCACATATCCCTTTTAAACAGTTTTCTCCCTCATCTGTTTCAATGCAGTATACATAATTTATCCCATCTTTCTTAGTCTCCGTGACTCAATGTCTCCATGATGGTGCTTGGGCGTCTGGCCACAGGTCCTGGCTTCCTCATGTCCAACAACCTCATCATGCCTCGGCCACATTTACAGGTTTCACCCCGATCCTGCCACTTCCAGCCACACCTCTGCAAAGACCGACTTCAAGGCCCTCACTCTCCCATAGCCCAGCTTTTCAGCTCATCTGCTCTTGTCCTACTGTCCCTTCTGATGATTCTCCAGTTCAAGAGGACCCTCCATTCAGGCCCAGCACCTGTCTTCATCCTCACTACTGACCATGCACCCGTACTTCCTGCCATCAGCTCCACCTCCTCAAGTCTCCATCTGTGGCCAGGCCGACTGCGTGGTCCATGTTTACAGCCTTCGTGGTATTCCTGTTGTGTTGTTAGATGCTGTTGAATACAACTCATAGCGACCCTATAAACAAAAGATCTGAACCCTGCTCTATCCTGCACCATCCTCACACTTCCTGACACACTAGAGCCCATTGCAGCAGTCACTGTCAATCCACCTGGTTGAGGGTCTTCCCCTCCTTTGCTGACCTTCCACCCTTCCCAGCATCATGACCCTCTCTTAAGGAGTAGTGCTTCTTAGCAACATGCCCAAAGTACGTGAGGCAAAGCCTCAACATTCTTGCCTCCAAAGGGCACTCCGGCTGCACCCTCTCCAAGACATATGTGTTCGTTCTCTTGGCCGTCCGTGGGATGTTCAGGTATTCCTGTAGACCCTACAAATCCCAGGCCCCTCCTCCTTCTCAGGGAATGCTGAGTGATTAGAGACTTTATAGTCATGTGACTGGTCTCCCTGTAGACTTACAGCCACAGTGTCCCCGTCGCCAGCACTGCACAGCAAACTGACCTGCCACAGGTGCCTGGGCCTGAACTTCAGGAAGATGTCCTGCTCCTCACGCCTGCCCCCACTGCTGCTCATGCCCATGCCTTCCCTTTCTCTCCCCTCAACCTCCAGCTGCCTTGTTCCTGTTTGGAGGACCACTCTCTCTGCTCCAGTCGAGCCAATGCTCCAGTCGAGGACCACTCTCTCTGCTCCAGTTGAGCCAATGCTCCCTCTGATCCTCACCCCTGCAACGTACTGAGGACTTTGCTCACACTCCCCTACCACTCGCTGCCCCCGACTCTTGATTTTTTTTTCTCTTCTTCTCCCTGCCTTTTTTTTTTTACAGCCCCTCGGTAAGGACTATCCACTTAGCTTTGTATCCAAAGACTAAATTTGTAGGTGAAAGGAGTTAGGAGTTAGCCTTTGTTACAGACTGGTTCATTTCAGGGTTGAAAATATGGAACGCTTCACGAATTTGCGTGTCATCCTTGTGCAGGGGCCATGCTAATCTTCTCTGTATCGTTCCAATTTTAGTATATGTGCTGCCGAAGCGAGCACGACTCCTGATTTTTAATCAGCTTCTCTTTCTTCCTGTCCATCCTTTCTGGGTTAACTCCCAGCAAGCACAGAGACACAGCATGACTGCGTACTCGCCAGGCCAGTTTGCTCCCTTCCTCGGCGCACAGCTGCACTGCACTTGCCAGGCCCCTGCAGTCAGCTAGGGGCCATCATGGCCGATGAATATAGGAGAGGAAGGGGCTCAGCACTCCCACTCCCACTAGTCACTTTCTTTTATTCACCGACCTCAGAGGTCAAAGGTGAAAGCTAGAGGCATCAGGGACACAGTTTCCTTCTGGTATGAAGCCTCTAGCAGAGGCCCCGCCATTCCTGCATACTGCACTCGTGGTGACACGAGAGCATCCTCCTGGGGTAAGTCACTGGCATTTTAGATTGCTAGTGTGGCACTGCCTAGCCTGTAATGATGAATGCTTAGAGTGGACTCTGGAAGTGTGGGGCTACTGTAACTCGACTTTAAGTCTGTTAGCCAGCTTAGGGGTTATACGGTGAGGAACAAGGAAACCTCAGAGGCCGAAAAGACGCTGACTCATACTACACAGGCGAAAACAGCTGCCTGTTAGGACTCGGGGAGAGACGGACCATGGGTGTTGGGAGCTGGCAGCACTGGGAGACACGGATGAAGACAATCTGGCTATTGGTGTGTTCTGGGTGATTTTGGCAAGTTTTACCAACAAGAGAGGAGCTGAGGAAAGAACTGTCAGTTTTCAATTAGAAAGATTGTTCCTCTGAGTGAGGTGGCAGCACTGGCAGGGCTGAGCGGGGGTCTGACGTGATCTAGCTTCTGTTTAACTGGAGCCCCCTGACTGCCTTGTCTGGAAAAGACTGTGGGGTGCAAGCTGAGGAACTGGGGGTGGTACCTGGAGAGTGGAAACATGGTCAGACCCTGGATTTCAAGGGCACCGAGTGGATTTTAAGGCCACAGAACTTGCTGACACAGAGAGGAATCAGAGATGAGACTAAGGTTTGTGGCCTGAGCGAATCAAAGAATGGAGCTACCGTTAACAGATACATGGGAACGCATGAAAGGTTAAAAGGGACAGTCAAGGGGAGATGTGGACAAATAGCCACATAGCTGAGCTGGCAAATGGAGATGAGGTGGAAGTGTGAGGTAGTGGTGCAGGCTGGTAATGGGTAATAGTCTTAAATAAATAGAGGTGAGGTTGCTGGGGGGTATATGCATATAGAAAAGAAGGGAGCACAGGCTGGGCACTTCACATTCAAGGTCAGGAAGATGAAGAATCAGGAAAGGAGCCTGAAACATGAGATAGAGTGCTGAGAACACCAGAAGCCTGTGGGGTTGTGGAAGCTGTGTGTGAGTTTTCAGGAAGGCTTTATTTAAAAGCTTACTGCTTACTCAAATGCGTATAAGTTACAAGTGTAGTTATAAAGTAGATGAATAAAAGAATGCCCTATGTGACCCTGAGTGTCACTGTCTGCTCCAAATCCATACTTCTGGGAATCTATGGATACACGGATGGAATCCACAAGAGATGAGAGACGACATCGGAACCCACACAACCGCTTCCCTCTCCCTTTTAACAGACGGATACCAGGTCTTCACACATGCGTGGGCTGGGAACACAGTACAGGAGAGCCTTCATCTAGAGGGCTGGCCACAAGGCGCTAAACATTCTGATCGGTCCTTTCCAACACTCCTGACATTGAGGAGGAGGGGTGTTTGACTGGCAGAAAAGGTCTTCTCTGTAACTTACATGGTTTCACCAAGTTGTTCCAAATCACAAAAAAATACACATATTTACATAGACCTGACATTCTATATTGTGTAACAGTTATCTCTTCAGACAAAGGCATGTTCTTTGGAGCTTTCTTACCACCACAATCTGTATGTAATATTTCAACTAATGGGATTAAATAGCAGGAAGGTGCACTGAGGCACAACCACAACCAGTTCTTAAAAGTGAGCGCTGATTATTTTCCCGAGCCCACTTATCCGTTCACGCTCTGACCACACACTCCAGGCCCCGCTCAGGACCGGGTCGCAGCGTGAACCACAGGGCACGTGCTCACCTTCATGACGTTATCCAAGGTGAAGCCCGAGCCCTCTGTGCCCAGGTCCTTCAGCAGCCGAGCCAGCAGGTCGAGCTGACTCATCGCCAGGTGGGTTGAGGAGTTTGCTTTTAACGGCTGCACCAAGTAAGTTGGGATGATTTGGAGTGACTTCACTTCCTTAAATAAGGCCATTTCCTATAAAAGTCAATGTAATTTGTTAATTTGTACAGGAAGATGCTGGAGGCAGATGATTACAATTTAGTGTGGTCCTCACAGTAAGTTCAGAAGGAAAAATAGAAATTCACAGTGCTAAACGGCAACCAACGCATCCATCCAGCACCTCACATTCTATTTAAAACACAACAGCCAATTTAAACCCAAAACCTGCGCAAAAGAAAAATGAAACAAGACGCATCTGCAGATTCATTAAACTGTACAGAAAACGTCACAGGAAAGTTAAGCTTTCAGTTCTTTGTATTCCCACTTTCCAGTGAAGGCTTTTCTGAACTTGAAGGCTGCTAAGCTGTGGCGATGAGGCTGGCACGTTGGTACCGAGTGTGGAGAGGCATCAACTGGGGGCACAACGGAGCACAGTCCTCCAGTCAGCGCGGTGCCCACTCCAACAACACTGACCTGGCCGAGATAGTTATCGTTTTATTTGCCAGATACAGAAAAACAGAAGATGACATGTTGAAGCATAATCCCCTGACCAAGCGCACTGGAGAGTCCATTCCTGCCACACTGCACACGATGCCAGCAGGGCTCCTTAAACTGAAGCACTTACTTAGAAGAGACAAGAAATAAACTGGCTTCATAAAGTCCTCCTGTAAAGATTTACAGCCTCTGAGACCCAAGGGAGGGTGGTTGTGAGGCAGAACTGATGTGATGGCAGTGAGCTGGCCTGCATTTGGGCAGGTCACAGCCTCTAAAAGAGATGCTAGTTTCCCCAGCGTGACGGACTTTGCATGCGTGCCTACAAAGAGCTTCACTGTACAAAAGAAAAGAGCAATGAACGGCATTCTAAAGTATTAAAAGTAAATTTCTGAAATGACAAGGAGATGCTACAGAAGTGGGTTGATGTTAACTGTTTGCTGGTGTAGAAAAAAGTAATTTAAATGCTTCAATATAATGTTCTTGGTTCAAACAGAGAGGACATTTTAGCATTATCAAGCTACTCAGAAATTAGTATGATTTAAAAACAATTATATGAGGCAATAATTACCTTGTTTTTGATGGTTCCTTTTGAGAGATAATATCACTCTTACCTCCCCAAAGAGGGCAGGGAAGAAGAAACAAAAGATTTCTCTGTACAAAACCAGCTATTTCATAGTATTTGGCTTTTGAAAACACTGTTCAAAACTAAGCTTTCTTGAGTTTGTGACTATAGTAAAAATCCATTTCAAACCCATCATTATATACTATTCAGTATAATCTACAGATTATAGAGATTATACTATTCAGTGATAACACAGTTAGCTTTTAGTTTGTCAAGAAAGGATTTTCTTTTTCTTGAAATCTGCCATATCCCACCAAATAAACAAGAATTCCAGACTGAGCTCTCTCACGTCTTTGATTTAAAGATGACAAAGGAGAAGCAATGGTCATGTCATAACGGGCCATACCCATGTGCAGCCTAATTGCTGCACAAACCACACCTGCTGCGTGCCCAAAGAGAAGGCAATTTAGAAGACTGTAGTGTGAGATCTGATGAAGGTGGCCGCCATCAGGGACATTGCTGAAGCTAGGGTCTCTGACACACAGGTGCTACCCAGGCTCTATGTGAAACTGCACTGCTGGGAGCTGTGTCATTCCCAGCACGGTGGTGAGGAACTGTTCTCATGGAGCCCCGAAGGACAGAACACTCCCCCACGTCCAGCATCCAGGTTTAGACCTGCAGGTGCTGCTCTACGACCTCCACCAAAGTCCATGTAAGGATTTAATTCCATAAAGGCTGAAAAAGAACCTCATCTAAAAGCAAAAATAAACTGAGATTACAGATTAAATGTTTAAAAAAAGAATAATTTCTGATTAAGTAATCATCCTATGGGAATTTCTTTTTTTTTAATTTTTATTACATTTTATTAATTTTAATGAATATTTACAGAGATTCTGGATTTCCATTCATTCATTATTGCATGGGAATTTCTTAACATTGCTTTTCTCATTTTCTCTTCCAAAAGAGTCTGTAACTCTTTAACCCCCTAAGTCCATATACCACGGACTACCCAGATAGCAAACAAGTCTTGGAGAAGGTGAAACCAGATTGCTCCTTTGTGGCAAGGACTTTGAAATGCCATCTCACATACTTTGGGCATGTTGCTAGGGGGGACCAGTCCTTGGAAGAGTAGAGGGTCAGCCCAGGAGAAGATGACACCAGATAAGATGGACTGACACAGTAACTATGGTAATGGGGGCAGGTGTGTCAGAGACAGTGAGATTGGCTCAGGATAGGGCAGGGTTTAGAGCTTTGTGTACAGGGTCGCTATGAGTCGTAACAACAAGAAGGCATATTAATGTGTAGGACCATTGTTGTTGATTGCCTTCGAGTCGAGCATGACTCATAGTGACCCTATGAACAAAAGACCTGGAGCCTTTCTATAACTATCATCATTTGTCTCAAAGTTCATAGTTTTCAGAGGCATGTTATTTAGGAAGTGGATGCTGCTTCCAATCACATTATTACTTATTTTTCCTTATATATTTTACCTGAAGACTGACTTTAAGCTTATTAAATGAAACTAGATAAGTGTTTCTTTATATTTGGAGCTTTTTAATATTTGCTCTTATTTCTTTGAAAAAAACTAGATAGATGTTTTTCCCTAAGAAAGATGTGCACATCCACAAACTTTCATCTAAAACTGCAGGGGATTTATGGCCCAAAGATGGCCCCTTAACTTAAGAACTCCTATAAGAAGTCAATTTCTCAGTTAATTTAAAATGGAAAATAATTTCTCATCACCTAGTAACTGTTTGCCAAAATTTGCAATATATTTCCTTCCACTTCAACATCACTCACAATCCCAAGCCTATGGAAGTATTTTTGTCGAGAGGGTGAAAAGACTTCGATTTAGTTATCTATTTATTACTTCTATCCTCTCAAACTTCCATTCAGACTTCATTTTCCAGATATTTGTATTTCTTTAAAAAGAAGCGAAATTCTAGAAACACTAAACATTTTCGTCACAGTGCACGTCTAAGAGAAAATCTGTCTTTCAGAGCGTTAAGCAAAGCCTGATGGTGAATGACTAGGAGGAGTTCTGCTGCCGCTGCTGTGCACAGCCCCCACCCCGCGGGGAGTAAGCCCGTCAGGCACCTGCAAGCCCCCGGCTCTCTCCCTGGCTCAGCCTGCAGCCTGCGACCCTACCTGGATGAAGCTGGAGGCGATGATGCGCAGGCGGGCGGAGGAGTCCCCGGTCCTGGTGAGCAGGGTGGGGATGGTTCTCTCCACACAGTGGGTTGTCTCTACTTTACTCAGTTTATGCTTAGGGATATACTGGGTAATCACCATCTTCAACAGTTTCAAAGAGGCCTGAAAGACCTGCACATAACAGGGGAGAAAACAGACAAGTGGCTGTGACCGGATTCCACCAAAATACGGAATTTATTATCACAGTGAAGCCTGTGAACGTCAGAACTCTTGAGGACCCCCTCATTTTTCTTGGTGTTGTAAATTTTCCACCCTTTGACAGGGTACAGCTGCACCATTTTTCTGATGCTGCTAAAGCCAAGAGTGAATGACTGATGTAGCGACAGATTTCACAGATCCTTGGTTTAGGCTGAACTACAGGCACCTTCTTGCATTGGGCAAAATCTACAGAGGACCTTGTTATAGTGTTAAGAGAGCAAAGACGTCACTTTGAGGACTAAGGTGAACCTCTCCCAAGCCAATATTTTCAGTGATTTCAGATGCATGTGAAAGTTGACTCGGGAGTAAAGAGGAACGGATGCCTTTGACTTGTGCTGCTTGTGAAGAGTAGCGAATATATTGAAGACGGTTAAAAGAACCAACCGGGCCTGGAGGAAGTACAGCATGAGTGCTCTTTAGAAGCAAGGACAGTGGGACTGCGTCTCACAAGCTTTGAACATGTTACGAGAGGGACCAGTCCCTGGTAAAGAACATTGTGCGTGGTAGAGGGTCAGCGAGAAAGAGAGAGGCACGGAAAGAGATGGAATGACACAGCGGCTGCCCCAAGGGGCTCAAACACAGCTGTGACCATGAGCAGGCCGGGGCTGGGCAGGCACTCCATCCTGTTGTGCGAGGGTTGCTGTGAGTCAGAAGTAACCTGACAGCATCAAACGCACAGAACCCTAGTTTGTAGTTATTCTAACATGCCAGAGCCGGCGACTATCAGTGAGTCACATCTAAGACGTGTCTACAGCACCTCACACACAGGTGCGGGAGGGCGTTTACCGAGGTCACAATGTCTTTCATGGCCCTTCTGATGAGAAAGATGGAAGCTCTTAGCATGTTCTTTAAATCGTCCTTCGGTGTCCCAATGGGCATCTCCATCAGCTTTTTATACAGTGCAAGCAATGCATCTTCTCGGTATGACCATGTCTTGGAATAGGCCCCAGCCACCTAAGATAAAACAAGAATCTTGTTTTATTGAAGGACTCAGAATTTCATTACATCATATAATCGTCCTCTCACCCAATCATATTATACATTTGAAGGCTCTCTCTCCCTGTTTTTAAATCCTAAGAACCTTTTCTAATAAGACCTCTGCAGAATAAATATGTGTATTCAGAAGGAAAATACTTTGCTATTTTAAGATTATGTTAAAGTATGCAATTACAGCATTAGGAGTCCTAACAAGAGAAATATTTTCAAGCTGGGGACCAACAGGAAAATCCAGAGGGTTCCTTCATGCAAGGACCACTGGTATGCTGCTGTAATCTGGCATAGCTTTTTTTTATTGAAGGGAACTGCTTTTTAATACTAGTTCCATGAATACCAAAAAGATCATCTAGTTTTAAATGAACACTAATGTGCAAAACCTCAACATTTAGCTCTCTCATTTAATTTGTATTTAATGAAAAGACTTCAATGCAATAAGGCGCAGAGCAAAATCAGCATTTTTATTATAAAGACAACTTAAGGTACTTTATCTTCCTTCTGTCTGTCCCTCTCATATTCACATATGCGTGGACACATGTGTATATGTATGCATGAATATTTGCATGCGTGTGTGTATGTGTATGAACCTAGGTTATGTGTGTACATGTGGGGTTGTTTTACCAGCGTCTCCCCGAGCACGTCGATGGTGGAGCTGGCTTCTCTCAGGGCTTTCTCGGTTAAGGGCTCTGGCTCCCACAAAACACCTTTATGCGTCTCGATGCCATCAGCATTGCTCACTTCATACTCTGTGAGTGCGTCCCCCTGCTGCCGGCGGATGGCTGGGAGGGGCCGTTCATCGTAGGGCAATGTCTCCACCTGTAAGAGAACCACAGCAAGCCTTACAGACTAGCACCCAGCGTGGACCCTCCACCACACCCTGTGATGTCATTCTCAGGGTCAAGGCCTGTAGACCAGTGCCCAGCGTGGACCCTCCACCACACCCTGTGATGTCATTCTCAGGGTGAAGCCCTGCAGACCAGTGCCCAACGTGGACCACCCCTCCCATGTCCCCCCTTGACCCTTGTGATGTCATTGCCAGGGTCAAGGCTTGCAGACCAGCGCCCAGCATGGACCCCCCAACTGCACCCTGTGACGTCATTGCCAGGGTCAAGCCCGGCAGACCAGGGCCCAGGGTGGACCCCCATCCCGTGACGTCATTTTCCCAGGTCAAGCCCTGCAGACCACCACCCAGCGTGGACCCCCCGCCGTACCCTATGATGTCATTGCCAGGGTCATGCCAGGCAGACCAGTGCCCAGGGTAGAACACCCCCCACCCCAAAGGCACCCGGTGACGTTCATTCTCAGGATCACTGTTCTCTCCTCACCAGGTCTGAGAATAGTAGTAGGGACAGATTATAGTAAGTTACTCAAACACCACGTACAACTTAAAAAAACTAGTATGAAGTTTCTAGTCCTTTCTAAACTCTAAACTCATTATGTGGTGGTACTAAAAAACTGGAACCGAATCATAGCTGAGCCTCCAGCAGGTTTTCAGAGGCAGTAAAACACACAGGAGGAGACTGCCCACCACTCTCCTGAAGCTGGTGGACTGGAACCTTGTGCCTTTGGGATTGCAGTACAGCTTCTTACTACTAGGCCACCAGAGTTCCCTAACGTCATTCTGGATCCTTTTCATCAGGTCTAAGCTCATTACAGACCTAATAAATCAGCTACAGTTTATAGTATACCATTAGCAACTTTAGTTCAACTGGGACAGAGTACTAAAGTAAGCATTTTTTTTCCTCGTAACAAGTTCTCTGTTATATTCTTTGTTTTCTTTTTCCCTAGTTGTGGACTGTCGAATCAGATCCGACTGGTACAGGAGGAGACTACCCCTCCTTCTCCAGTGGAGCATCTGGTGGATTTGAACCACGTGCCTTTGGAATTGCCATGCTGCCTCTTGCCACTAGGCTACCAGAGCTCCCTTCTCTGTTATATTCATAGTTTGTTTCTGAAAGCAAGCATGGAGCGTGATTTTAAACCTTTTCATCATTAGGTGCCTGGTTAAAAACAGTAGCCAAAGGTACAGAATGTTCATGCACACTTTTTGTGGTGGGCCCACCAGAATTCTAGACAACACTCCCTTAGTCTGCACATTTACCACTTTATTAACCATCTATCGAGATCCTAATTCACACCAGGCACTGTTGATGGGGGTCTTACACGAGGCAAGTGTCCTTGTCCTGCTTGATGTTCACTGTCCCTTTCCTACAATGGTGTTCTATGAGGAGTTTTGACTGTTTTGATCATAGATGGATGCCTGGCACCTGAGTAGGACTTGGCCAATGCCGGCCCAGCAGAAGGGTTTAGTGGCTAAACTGAACGCAGATCTGAGCTATGGGACCTACGGTGGTCTTTGGATGAGACTCTGAGGCTGGCTGCAGTGGGTCCACGGCAGCGTGCGGAGGAATGCCGTGAGACTGTGAGGACTGGTCCTGCAGGACAGGCTCTGAGGCTGGCTTTTCTGTCAGGTGCTCCTCCTTCTGGGGCAGCAGGGCCTTTGAGCTCTGACGACGAGGACTGCTGGGGTGAACCAGGGGCTGCAGGGGCAAGTCGAGGGGTCTTCGCATCTGGAAGAACAAGGGACACAGGTCCAATGACAGATTCACCCACCCAGTCTAGAAAGGTGATGCTGGAAGAGTCCTCCACACAAACATTTCACAACAGAAGCCAGCCTTCAGGAGTGTTTGAATGGACACTACGGAGGCCCTTGGGAGTCACAGCACAGTCCCTTCAGTTGCCGCTCATATCCATGTTACAGATTATAAGAGTTGACGGCCAGCTCTAACGTGGATGCCTAGTGGAGCAGCAGAGGCATGACTCACAGCCCCCTGTGCTGGTCAAGAAGCGAAACGGGAAGACAGGAGACCCTGGGCTGACCCCAAGACCGTTCACCCCTGAAACTGACAGTCACGGCCCACAGAATAAGCTCTCTAGTGTAACTGCAGCAAGTCAAATTTATCTAGCACTACTGTGTCCTGGGCATGGAGCTCCATGCTTCAGACAGATGAGCTCACTTACTGCTCACCCATCTGACCCTCATTTTAAACACGTGGGGGAAGTGGCACTGAGAGGCTATGGCAGCTCTGCCTAGACCACCAGCTACAGTGGAGAACTTTGGGGTGTGAGGTGTCTGTCAGCCAGGGTGGCCCTCTCTGTCCTCACATTCTGTGTGTCCCACAGCCTCTGCTTCCTCATCTGTAACTGGGGAGATGCAATTTGAGCCTGTAGGAAGGGTTCTACTGACACACTCTGAGGGGTGAAGGGGCAGGGGCTACCTTACTGGCACTGTGGTTGAGCTGGGGTCGTTCTGACCCTGGGTCATTCCTGGTCTCCTCTCCCGGGAGCTCTCCTAAGAGAACATGTCCTGGCAGTCTCCCTGACAGTTGATGTCCTCTACCGTAACTGCCATATCTGTGTGATAAACTCTCCCATGGATTCACCAGGCACATGCGCCCCCCCCCCCCGGATGACCACACGTGATGACCACATGGACTCTCACGGATGCTGGAATTCTGTCCCTGTTTCCTCTCCCTCCACCTACCAGCTCTGCATCCATCAGGTTGTGAAGTTCCAGCTGCTGGTAGACCTTTGCTCGATACTGCTCCATTTGCTGCTTCTTCTCCTTGGCGAGGTCATAGTCTTCCTTCTCCACAGCACAACGTTTCTCCACCTCGTACCTCCCGAGACGCTCACCGACCTAAAGGACAAGACGACTGCTTGCTGTTCCAAATACTGATCAACTCACACCACAGGCAAAGTCAAAGGTTAATGTAACACATAAGTGACAGTGGCAAAAACCATCTAAGATCTTCTCTGAGGAGAAGAAATAGGCCTAGGAAAGGAATAGAAGAAAAAGACAACACTCAAGGCAGAGGGACTGCTGCTTGTTCACTTCCGGTTTCTGGTAAACCCATGAATTCATCATCATTTTAAAAACACTTCTTAGGTTTTTCTACCATTTCCCCCAGCAAGAACAGTGAAGCTATGAAGCTCCTGAAGACATCTGCCTGTAATCCTGAAGAACTCTGAACGTGCTTTTATTTAAGTTTGAATTCAGGTGTTCATTTGCTTAGATCTTTGAACATGCACTAGCAACAATGAATGAATGGGGAAAAAATTATATGGAAAGAATATGCTGTAAAAAAATACATATGTTGCATTAAAAAAATCATTAATAAAAAAAAAATCTGACTAAAAAAAAAAAATACTAGCCTCCAAGGAGAAACTTGGGTTTCACCCTCTCCAAGACAGACCTATTTGCTCTCTTGGCAGTCCATAGTATTTTCAAAGCTTTTCTCCAGCACCACAATTGGAAGGCATAGACTGTTCTTCTCTTATCCTTAGCTATTGTCCAACTCTCTGAAGCATAACAAGTAATTGCCATGGCCTGGATTAGGCACACCTTAGTCTCTAGACTGACATCTTTGCTTTTCAGCACTCTGGAGAGATCCCTGACAGCAGGTTTTCCCAATGCAGTTGTCTTTTGATTTCCTCACTGCTGGTGTTAAGTGTTGATTGTGGAGCTGAGCAAGCTGTAATAGTTAACAACCTCAATCTCTTCT